TTTATTATCTTATATTTAATTTATTTATTATCTTATATTTAATATCTATTTCTAATATTTCCTCTCTTATGCGCAGGCCCTAAGGTTACCCTTTGTGGGGATAGTTATATTAAAATATCAACAATAATAATAACACGTATATACAAATGTTATGAAAAGGATTTATTATTTGTAAATTTCATTAACTTTTTTCTCTTATTCTTATATCTATTTCCTACAGCAATATTTTATACTGTTTCCATTAAGCAATTTTGTTTTGCGAAAATAATTGCCACAACCTTTCACAAAACAGGACATTGTGTATGTAACACCGAACATTAATATCGTGTCAAGCATCAGGAGCCGCCATGTTTTCGTTTGGGCGGTCTGATTGGCCTGAGAGTGACGTCACACTTTGACTGCGCAGTGGGTATCCACGGCGTGAGCATACCCTTATCCTTATACCATGAAGACGCTCTCTATACAAAGACAAGATGTCCGACTGGACTGAGGGTGCCGTCCCATGACGCGTATCACTGTACGCGTATCGAAGGATCCGACCAATCACCGACGATCCGCTGTTTTACGTACGCGCCGTTTATGCCTATACGCAACAATCAGCGGTTTATTTTTTATTAACGCTTAATATCTTGGTTCGTGGGGCAGAGCGACGCTTTTTTTTGCCAGATTTCTTTCGTTTCATACAAAAACGCGTCGAATAAATTTAATTTCATTGATTTTTGAAGTGGATTTTACCTGTAATTCTACATGCTTGCCATCAATACAACCAACACAGTTGGAATAATTCCAAAAATAGTCAAAATCTGCAATATTTTGCCAATTCTTTACTTTATCTTCAAGAAAAACTATCTCCTTTAAAACATTCCATATAGCGTTGCAAGTCTCCGCTATTATTTTTGAAACGGTGTTGTGGGCAACACGAAAAGCATATGATATTGACATCATGCTGTCTCCTGAAGCTAGATAGCGGAGTGTGATATGTAAACGCGTTTCAGAGGGAATTGGTTCGCGAACGACAGATTGCTTCGTAATTAATGGACCAATTAATTCCAATAATTTTTTTAATGTAATTGAATCCATTCTAAAGTAATTACGAAATTTTGTTTCATCTTCAAACTCCATTTCTTTGACGAGATTTTCACTAGCTCCTTGCAAGAAATGTCGATGCAGGGTAAATATGGGTCGTACCCAAAATTGATGTTATTTGTCTTTTCCTTTGTTTCTTATATCTTCATACAATGCATACAAAAATAAGATTTTTCGACGCAGTATTTCTTGTTTAAAGGGATTACTTTGTTTGAATTTGTTTACTAATGTAAAAATTGCTAACAATATATAGTCTTCATTTGAATCCATTTTTTCTGTAACAAAAATAACATCTTATTTTGTACTAAATAGTACTGAATAGATTATAATTTCTTTCAATCAGGACTCTAATATACTACCGTATTTATTTGTATCTACCTTTTTGATTAAGGAGCACTTCTACATGAAATAAGAATTGCTAACGATCCGCCGTTTTACGTACGCGATAATTTTGCCCTTAATGTCCCATGGAGCGGTTCGTGCGTAAGCGGATTAGCGGATCGCCAATTACAACATCATTCTGTTAGATCTGCTTGCAAAATTTGCAATTCGTTTACGCACGAACCGCTCCATGGGACATTAAGGGCAAAATTATCGCGTACGTAAAACGGCGGATCTTCAGTGATTGATCGTATCTTTCGATACGCGAATACGCGCGTACAGCGATACGTGTCATGGGACGGCACCCTGACATTGCTAGAAGTGGCGAATTGTAACGTTCTGGAAGGGGCGAGTAACGCGAAGGTTGCTCATCCTGAGTATTACGGAAAGGATCACGAGTTTGCAGGTTACTGGTTAATCTATTCTGGACGGAGAGAGAGGTAGCAACAAATCGTTGCTGGTCAGATACGCGGTGTGCCGCCG